GAGTCTACCAGTGCATTCCAGAACATTGCATCTGACCGAGCAAGAATGTTAGGTTCGACCCAGAAGTAAGCAATGATCAGCTAGGAAGAGGGCTAAAGCTAGCCCAAGAGAATTTGACTCTAACCTGAGATACTTCAACTGTCCACATTCACACAAATTCTAACCCATCAATCAAACTTCTAGAATTTTTAACACGGGTGTGCCTTAATTTCAGGGATCTTTAGTTGACATACACACCAGAGTAAGAATATGAAGAGTTCATTGAGGGCTCAAGAGAAGAGCAGGGAGCAAGGAGAGAAGTAACAATGCCTGTGTTGTCCTTTGCCGAATCTAGTTTGTAGCTGTCTTCAATCACTAGTTGTCTGTTTAGATACCTCTTAAAACTAGTGTGTGTGTGTGTGTGTGTTTGTGTGTGTGTGTCTGTGTGTGTGCATGTTCACATGCATATGAATGATGCAGTGTCTGTATCAAGCAGACACTTGATCGCCTTTGTGCTGGCATGCACAAGGATCTACTTGTGCTCCTTTGTGAGTCAAGCTAGGAAGTAGAAGAAGCAGGTTCGACAGCACAAAGGAGACCAAGTGCTTGATGCAGACATCAAAGGAGAACTTGTAAGACTTTGTTCTTTCCTTCCACCATGTGCAACCCAGAGATGGAACAACTCCGGTTCTCAGATTTGGTGACAAAGTGCCCTTACCTACTGAGCATCTTTCTGGCACATTGTCTTTACTCTTGGGTGTGATCATGCGTACGTAACCTTCCTTAGCTTTTGGATTTTCTAGTGTTTGAAACATATATTTATAATAAAATATCTTGGAGATAGGCCCCCAGTCTGAACATGGTATTCATTTGCTTCATATAACCTTATATAGTGTCATACTCATAGCCTGATGGCAATTGTTGACATTTTGTCTAGGCTCCACCCCACAGTTACCTGGCAACAGCCAGGTATGCCTCACTATAAAAGGGGCTGCTTGCCCCCTCCTCTCTCTCTTGCTTTCTTGCTCTTGCTCTGTGCCCTTGGTCCTGCTCCCCATCTCTCCTCATTCTCCCCTTCCTCTCCACATGCTCATGGCTGGCCTCTACTCTACTCTTGTACTAGCGCTCTCTCTCTCTCTCTCTCTCTCTCTCTCTCTCTCTCTCTCTCTCTCCCTCCCTCTCTCTCTCTCTCTCTCTGCCTTTCTCTGTCTCTACTCCCTCAACTCCCCTCCCTGTGCCCTGAATAAACTCTATTCTTTACTAGACTGCCCTGTGACTGGTCCCTCAGGAGGAAGGGATGCCTCAGCATGGTCTCGCAGAGGAACCCCCTTCCCCCACACCTGATGACAGAGCCAACAAAGGTATTCCTTCTCCCCTTAATCTTTTATAAAACGCAACAGTAATTCTGTATAAAATTTTTAGCACACCTTTGTTTTGACTAAAAGCTATCACGTGAAGTTGTGTATAGCATCTAACACACAAAAGGCTTTGGATTTTGCTACATTTCAGATTTTGGATAATCAAGAAAACCTATGGGAAAACTCCCCAGGGAGGAAAACATCTCACTTCTTATGTGTAATTTACATTACAGTAACACCAATTACTTTCTCATAGAACGTACAAAGCACCTCTCGTAGAACATGCAAAGCACCGTGTGCATTGCACAGTTATAATGCAATATACCTGACTTACAACAGGCACATTAAACCAGGGCAAGCAAAGACGAAATTTTTCAAGAGGAAAACTAAAAGTGGAAAGAGGTGTTACTCACTACTCAGACAGGATTTCAGACTGGACCCAGAGAATCAAGACACAGATCAGAGCCAAAGTAACAGAAACACACACACACACACACACACACACACACACACACACACACACCACAATAGAAACCAAAGACTGTTAAAGATGAATAAAGACCAGAATTCAGTAAAGAAGTTCCCACTTTGGCACAAGAGAGTCAAGCTACGAAGTAGAAGCAGGTTTGACGGCACAAAATATGGCCCTAGCATTTAGCCCCACATATATAACCAGGGAACCCTGTTAGACATGCAGACTCTTAGCCTCAGACTTCAGAAGAACTGCTGAATGGGGTCTAACAAATGGACATTAGCAAGGAGGCTTGTTAATATTTGATGTCCTCTGAGCTGAAGGATCTGGCTATCAAACCATGTGGAAAAGAAGCTAAAGAAAGATGACCTGCATATTGTTTCAGTCAAGAAAACAAAAGGCATACAATGAGTTAGTGTTGATGAGAACAGGAAGCTGAAACTGGTCGGACAGCTTAGGGACAGGAACCTTAATTCTTGTTCTGGGCCAGAAATGTACTTCATTCTCTTCCAGCAGAGTTGACTTCCTAATTTCCTTTCCTACTATCTTTCTTTCTTTTCCTTTTACAGAAGTTAAGTGAGCCCCACTGCTGGGGAGCTACACAGAGATGTGACCATAAGAGGCACCTGGTCATGGGACTGACTGGCCTGACTGCCACTCCCCCCCATTGCCTTTCCCAAGATTCTTTCCTAAGTCCTACGAAAGGCTGGAGTCTAGCAGCTTGTCAGTGTCTATTGTCTGGGACCCAATCCTGCTACACGGGACTTCTTCGTTCTTTCTCTTGAGGCCCCACCTGTAATACCATCTAAACTCATTTTCACGCTGTCTGTAAAATTCATTCTTCTAGTTTGAGACAAAGGACCTAAATGGCATTGCCTAGGGTAGCTATGGTGGTCCTTGGTTTTATCTTTTCATCACCTTAGCTCTGTGGTCTACAAATACTTGTGGCAAGAAAGCCTCCACTGCTCCAGAAGACAACTGCATTTCTGTATGAATTTAAACTGCAATAGGTCTATTGAGGAATCATGACTGTGGCTAAAATCTCGATTTTTCAAATAGGGACTGGGTATTGTTTCACCAGGGTGCTCAATTGCCTCCCTTCCCTGGTCAGAACAGATTTAGATGAAATTACAGTATATTATCCAGAAGGAAAAAAAAACATGAAAATTTGAAGGTCCATTTAGGGATTTTTAGTCCCTTTTATCCTTATTAGTCAAAAGTTAAATATAACAGCCTAATCGTTATATTTTTCTCTACCATCACTGTTGTCCACACTATTAAACAAAATGTCCTGGAGGGGCTGGAAAGTGGCTCAGTGGTTGAGAGACCTGGGTTTAGTTCCAAGCACCTGTACACACAGAGTGGCTCACAGCCATCTACAATTCCATTCTCAAGGTCTCTAATACAACAGGAACATGTGTGGTGTACATACATACATCCAGGCAAAATACACACATAAACTAAAAACAAAAGTTTTTGGAATGTCCTGTTTTTGAAATGGTATTTAAATTGCAAGCTTGTTATGATTTCTTTTCTTTTATTCTATAAACAATTTTCAAAAATATTTCAGAAATTGTGATTTTTCACATTGCTGTAGTCTGTGTGGGCTGTTACATAAATCCCCTCTTTCTCAAGATTACGAAGTGCTCACAGATTTTGTATCTATTATAAGGGCCCACTCTGGTTCTGGGAAAACCGTCTCTTGCTATGCCCTTATAGGGCCTGAAGGATGACAGGGATTGCTAAGCTTTCATCTCTGAACAATGTAATCTTCAAATTCCATCACAGTGGGTATTCAGTTTCAACATCTGAATCTGGGTGACATAAGCAAGTGTAGTATGCAACATACAAATTCCAATCCATTGCCCAAATCCGTGGATAACTATTAAGATTTTAATAAAGACTTTTACTTTACAAAAGAATTACCTCTGGGTTAAATAGTTAACTTCCAACCAGTTCAAATTTTAGAAAACCCTTGGGCAAAGATCTTGCTCAAAATTCAGAAAGCTATTTATTAATGTGCTCACTTGACATCAGTAATCAATTTTTAATCATGAAATTGGTGGTCCAGTCTCTGAGATATAAGTATAATATACTAGGAAAACCCCAGGCTAAGAAGAGCACTGAATTCTAACCCTGGTTGTATGAATAAAATGATATGAATATCATTTTCACCATTATCACACACTTGAAATAATGTATACAACATTTGATTAGATGTAAGATGCCTGCTACTGTAGTTTGGATCTTAAGTACTGTTCAAAGCCAGTGTGATAAAGGTTTTGACTAAAGCCCGGGGTTGCATAGCGGGATAGTAGAACCATTATGACAGTGTTCTCAACCCTCATAGTGCTGCGACTCTTTCATACAGCTTCTCACGTTGTGGTGACCACCAACCACAAAATCATTTTTGTGACTTCAAGGCAATTTCGAAGCAAAAATGTTGTACTTTACAGAACGCTATCCTATATCTATAGTCAAAGTAAACACCACTTTTTAAAATTGGGCTGGTGTTTCTTCAAATACATCACCGGCTAAAAATATTCTTAATCGTACTGTGTGTACACAACTGTTTTCTAAAAATGGTAACATGAGAGTGTATAAAAAAAAAAGAATTAGATGAGAAATTGGTAATCTGAGAACTGGTAATCTGAGCTATTGCCTGTATGTCTTTGATCAATCATATCACTAACTGTAAGTTCCTTTTATTTTCCTCCCTTAAAATGAAAGTGGCAAAGTTTACAGCTCTAAAAAGTCACTTGACTACAGAGATCCGTAATGGATACTCAAAACAATTTAAATGGAATCTTTAAGTGGAATCCCAGCCTGGAGACGTCTTCTTTTTTTATTGTTGTTGTTTGTGGAAAACACCGGATCTCCTCCAGGCGCTGTTAATACTTCGGGATCTGCAAAGCAACAGCACCTGGAGGCTGAGCCCCCTGGAGCGTTTCGCTTTCACAGCCGGAAGTGACGCATTTGGTTCCGCATTTGCCCTACGCGCACAGCCGCCTTCACTTAGGCACTCCCCTCACCTGCAAGGAAGCGCGCCCAGTCGCCCCTCCCCAACCGGAAGTCAGGTGTCCCAGGGGCTGACTGGAAACGCTGTCCTGGGCGTACTTCCCCAGCTCCTCCCCCGGTGACGTCACTGCCCGCCCCTTGACCCTCGCGGCCCCGCCCCCTTCGCTGCCTCCCTGGCTTGCTGCAGTCTCTCGGAAGGCGATGGAGCGGTCTGAGCCGTTGGCTGTGCTTTCCTGCGAAGAGGCGTCCTGCTCCTCCTGGGGAGCCTGCGGGTGAGAGGCCTGGCCCGGGCAGGCTGGGCGGGAAGAAGCGGAGGAACGCCGATGCGGGCTCCGTTCTTGCGTTCCGGCGGCTCGGAGCGCGCGGAGGCCACGGGTCCGCTCGGAACCACAGGGAGCAGGCGAGCGAGCGGGCGGGCGAGCAAGCCGGCGGGCGGTGGGTGTGGCGGCGTGGGCGCTGGCCTCGCAGCTCGCGCTCCGCGGAGGAGACTCGCTCCTCCCTGGTCTTCCCGGTTGCGGGTCGGGTCCAGCATCCTTCCCTCAGGTCACCACTTCTGACCGGCTTGTCAGGAGTGGGTTGTGGCCCCCTGTTGCTTGGCGTCCTTTCTTGAGGCAGCTTCAGCGCCACGGTGCACTAGGCTCCTCCAGCCGTGCTCCTTAGAAAACTGTTCTAGAGAGCACAAGTCAGGATGACTCCATTGCAGTCTGGACACACCGAGAATCTCCCTGTTTACTGCGGGGCTGGCACGGGGCGGAGCCCAAGGTTCCTATGATTATTTCCCACTGAGGGTCCTTGTATACTCTCATCAGTGTTGGCGTTAGTTCGCCTTCAGTCATCTTACAATTAAGAAAGCCCCACTTTTTCCTGCCCAGTATATGGATACTACATACCAAATATAGAAATGCTGGGTTTATTATGATCGTTTAACACACATGAGCTTTACATTGCACATTGAAACGGTTGCTTCAAGGACTGGATGGAAGTATTGTCTGCCCAGGCCAATGTTGCTAAAATCGACTTAAGAAATATTATTGAATACAAATAACCGTCCCTTAGTTGGTCTCATAGATGTTTTTATTATGATTATGAGGCTGGCTCCAAGTTTGCCAAAGATGGCTTACAACCCCTATCCTCCTCCCTCCTCTTCCAAACTTCTGAGATTACAAGTATGTGCAATCAGGCATGACTGTTTTTGAACATATTCTTGAAACAGTGAGACAGCTTTTTGGAAAGTAAGTATTGGTCATAGCCATTAAGTGGCTGAGCATAAACCCGTTCTCATTTTTAATCAGATATTTAATCCACCAAAGTAATTGTGTCTAAAATAGGACAGCAAGTGAAAGTGTAGTAGAAATTAGATGATCGGAAACCACAAATGTATAGTTTTAGTGTGTGTTGTATGAGAATGCTGATTTTATTAGCTAGGTGATGCTATGCAGTTAGTGTCTGGTTACTCAGCAATCTCACCAGCAAGCACTGCACATAGCAGCAGCTAGTGAAATTAACTTCAACACATCTTAAAACTCTAAGGAAGATGATACCTAAGAAAACATGCATTTTTGTATAGAAGGACCTTTAGTAACATGTGACTCTGGTCTCATGCATAATTGAATTTCACATTATAGAGTATGAATTTTTAAAAGCTATATTTTCTCTTTAATAGTTTGGGTTTTTTTTTTTCCCCTAGTACAAGTAAAAATTTACCAACCATGACAACAGAATCTTTGGAGATCGATGATGGATTATACAGGTAAGAACCTCAGAGACTGAAACTCACCTTTTCTTATGGTTAGTACAGAATCTCATAGTCTTTTTGATGGCTGTAGCTGTGCAGAATTTCAAATGGATATCCTACAAGTTCTTTAAATTAATTTTTGTGGGATTTTTTTTCAAGTTATATATATGAAAGTTTTAATATGTGAATAAACCCCAGTTTCTTGATAGGATTAAGAAGAATTTTGCTCTCCAATGTGAAAGTAAATGTGTTGAGTTTAGAAAATAGGTTTTACTACTATTCTTGATAGTGTAGGGGTTTCTTCAGTTATGCAGTCAAATTTAGAGGAAGATTATTTTAGTGAATTCTTAAGGTAATGAAATACAGATAATGGAGAATTCATGACAGAGTTATAATTTGAATGAAATTTAATGAGTTTTTGTTTTAAGTGTGATATGCCTTGAATAGGAAGAGTCTTCTATGCATTTATTTAAAGGTCCGTAACTAATGGTACTTTCGGGAAAATGTAGAGCGAGGAAAAGGCGATGACCTACACTGAGCTTCAGAAGGTTATTCCTAGCCGTTAGGTCCTGTATGTCTCTGCTGCTGGTTATGAGTTACTCTGGAACATTTGCCGCCTATATGAGACCAAGCAACCATAAATGAACTCTGAGACTATGAACTAAATACATCTTTTTTTTTTTCCTTTAAGTTTTTCTATCCAGTATTTTGTCATAGAAATGAGAAAAATAATTAGTGCATCATTTTGTATTGAAAGTGATCCTAAAGAAACAGAATTCTCTTAATTGTGTTTGTGGTGGTTTATTTGGTTTGTTTTAAAGTTGGTTACGAGAATACTGGTAATCTGTGCTATTAACTGTTCACAGTAGATTCATTGATACCTCTAACTTAACAAGTTTGAGAGTAGAGTTCGAGAATTTAGTGACTCTTTGAGACTTCTGGAAAACTAAGAGAGATAATGATGCTGAATTTGCTGCTCCTTGTATCTTAGTACCAAGTAACAAAGAAAAAGAATCAACTCAGAGATTAAGTTCTCAGCTTCAGGTGTATATAACCAGATCTCTTGGGATTGGAGAAATGGTTCAGTGAGTGAAGGCCCTTGCCTCCAAGCCTGACAACCTAAGTTATTCCCTAAGACCCACATGATGGAAGGAAAAACAGCGACTCTGTAGACATTGTCATTGGACTTTTACATACAAACTTGTACACATACAGCAATATTCAAACATACACACACTATGTTTAGTAACAAACTTCAGGGAGGTTAGTATGGTAGAGTAGACTTTCCATGTAAAAACCTATATTGGGAAGATCTGGAAGATTTATCTACCAATACTTGAAGAAACATGTTTATGAGGGGAGCATCAGCGTGCATGAAGAGCTCTGTCATATCTCTACATGCCAAACAATATAGTGGGAGATGCTGTCACTTGACTGGGAACTTAGTTGCACTGAGACCTTGGGGTTGAAAGATGAGGATCCTGCAGGCAACTTCTGACAGGGCTGTCCTCACAGCTGTGAGGGTGAAGCGTGAGCTCCAGTCAGTTACCTGGGCTGATGGAGAAGCCAGGACATGAAAAAAATGTATGTTCAGGAAAGGTGCAGTTAGTACTTAGAGCCAACAAGAGAGAGACCATGTAGTTGGAGCCAGTAAGGCCTTGAGGACAGGGTTGTGTAGCAAACATCATACCATGTGCAGCAGATGCTGGACAAAGATCCAGTTTCTTATGTGGCTTTGATTCTGTCTTTCCCTTCTCTATCTCAGTCAGTGAAAATGCTCACTTTGCTAGTTTATCTTAGAAGTATGTAAGTTTGTTTTTTATTGTGCAGCTCACAGCTAGGGGTTGCATTTAGTCTCAGAATATGCTGTGGACATAGACTTTTCATACTAGTGTGATACTGGAACTGTTAAGACTGGAGAATGAGGCGTAATATTATGGTTTGAATATGAAATATCCATACACAGTGAATTAAATGCTAGTTTCCCAGCTGGTTGTGCTACTTGGGAGGTTTCCTGCTTCTACCATAGGTTTCAAGGATAAAACTCAAGTCATCGGGCTTAACTATATAAGCTATATAATTATATAACCGTTAGTTATACTGTAATTATCATAGTTTTATAAAACGGTAGACTAGTATGCTTAGACTATTGGAAGACGTGTGTTCTTATTGTCTTTCATTTAGTTCTATGTGTGTTATAAATTCACACTGTATCATTACTGTGATTTAAACAATTATCTTTAATTTTTTTAAGGTTAAAAACATGTATTTTATCCATACTTTTTATCATTTCTCATATTCTCCATGCTTTTCTGTAATTTCAGGTTCTTATGTCTTACTGTTTTCTGCCTTAACTGATTTATAATTTCTTATATAACTTTATCAGGTTTTATATGTTTGAATATAGGATGAAGTAGTCTTTATTTTACTTTTTATTTTGAGAAATTTTTTATGAGTTTGGAATTTCAGGTTTCTGGTACTTTTGTGTATTACTTTATAGAATTGTTTGGTATAGTGAGTGGCATGTCATGGGCATTTTGCTGAATATTTTACTTTTTTTTTAATTATGTGACCCTTTATAGTACACTTATGAAGTTCTTTCTCTTATTTTCTCTGCACAATGAATACATGAAAAACCTAAAATATGAAGTTTTTTAAAGAGTTAGATGTTTTCATTTTATATATAGAGAGTGTTTTTATCTGCATGTGTGTGTGCACCATATGCATGGCTGAAGCCTACAGAGGTCAGAAGAAGGCATAGATCCTTCTGGATTTGGAGTTACAGGTGGAACCAAATCTATGTTGTCTGTTAGAGTAGCAAATGCTCTTAACATTTAGGCATTTCTCCAACCTCCTGGAATATTGTTGTTAGCAAATAATATGGACACATAATGAAGATTGTTGACATACATCCAGAAGAAAATGTTTAGAATATTCAGAGTGAACAGAAATGATTTTGTATCAGGAATTTCAGAATTGGATGTGTTAAGAGAGAAGATGCTGATTGTGAATACAATCTATAGATCTTCAAGGAGATTAGATGAGTTCTGTATGGATTCAAGGAAGTACAATTAGGATTGCTGTGTTAAGCTATGAGAACATAGTGTTCTTTTAGCAAAGGTAGAAATTTTAGTAGCTAGAACTTTCTTAAAGTAAACAACTAAGTGATTTCTTTTTACTAGTCGTTTTCACTACTATATGGCATGCACACTTGATAGTGGTATAATAAGGCCAGAATAAATGACAATCACTGCGCATTACCATTAATCAAGATGAGTAAATCTCATAAGTGTGGATGAGTAAGATTGCTCAGCGGTTAAGAGCACATACTGATCTTGTAGAAAACTGGAGCTCAGTTCCTTCCTAGCACCCACATCAGGCAGCTCGTGAACCTCCGTAGCTCCAGTTCTGGGGTGTCTGATGCCCTCTTCTGGCCCCTGTGGTCACCCTTACAGACCCCACATGTACATATAAATAAATCGTGTTAATGTGGAAGAGGGAAATCTCAAATGGTCCCAACCTTAGACAAAGAACTGTAGGCAACTAAGGAATACTGAGAGTGGGGGAAAATAGTGTACCCAAGAAAGAGTCCTCCAGTCGGTTTTCTAATAACAAGCAGTCAGTCCCGAATGTATATACATATGCGTGACATTACACAGGCTGAACAGATTGTATTTATATATTTAGGAATATATATTGATATACATATGTGTGTGTATGTGTGTGTGTGTGTGTGTAACAACAAAAACAGCCTATGAATTTGTGAGAGAACAAAGTATAGCGGGGGCAGGGAGAAGAAATTGGAAGGAGAAAATGATGTTTAGTTAAAGTGAAAACTTTAAAGTGAAAAACCATAATCTCAGATGAAAATCTCCAATATAATTTTTCAAAGAAACAAGATACACATTCAAAATGAGCTAATTCATATAAAGTTGAAAACAGGCTAGACATACTCTTAATGGGAGAAAACATAAAGTTTTTACTTCTAAAACTAAAGTTATATACTGATTAAAAAATAACCATTTTGGTTTTAGGCTGGGGATACAACCCAGTTGACAGATCTCCTTCTCTGAGGTCATTCCTTAGTGCTCCAAGTAAATAAACTTACCTACTTGCTAAAAGTTCTGGTTTTATTTTATTTTTAAAGAGCAAGGGAGGTAATGATAAAAATACACTTTTCATCTAACTAGGCAATACTTTTAGGCTTTTAAATTCTAAAATATGTAAATTATTTTAATATACATTAACTATGTTGGTGCTTTAATTTCAGAAGTAAATATAACAATTTCTTCCTTACACCAAACTCTAATTTCTGACACTCATAGGAATTTATTGGAATTTATTATCTACAAGGACTGGTACATTGTTTGTGTCCTGTTAACTCTCAGATAAACTATCGCTACTGACTTTTTTAAATTTCCAGTGCATGTTTTAAGTGTTTCAAAACGTTGACTTGATCCTGCTAACTAAGTGTACTTTACCAGGTCTTCAATGCAAAATAGTACTCGAGAGTTGTTTGGCCAATTTTCTTTTTTAAAAAAGAAAAATCTGAATTTTCCCCTCCAAAATCCTGTTTGTTGTCAGAATTTAAATCAAGGATATCAGAATCTCAGGCCTTTAGTGAGGAGGGAATGGAACAATGACAGTCTACCTAACATAATTCCATAAAGAGGACAGTTCTGCTCAACTCTGCTTTGTTAGGATGTGTATTGTGGTGCCAAATGACATCACATTCAAAATGTGTTAATTAATTAGCTAGCAATTCTGTTGGTTAACTGTAAATGCTGTACAACTTATCTGAAACAATTCTGGACAGAATCGAGTGTTGTGGCTGTTAGTTTATGAAACTTTAAGGCGTATTTTATTTAATAAAATAATGATTTTGTGTTTCATTGTGCTTTCCATATAGCCGACAGAGATATGTTCTTGGTGACACGGCAATGCAGAAGATGGCCAAGTCCTGTGTCTTCTTAAGTGGTATGGGTGGTCTTGGAGTAGAAATTGGTAAGCAGTATTTTTTTTCTATAATTTCTGTAATACTTTTACATAAGATAAAGAATATTAGTCTTATTTACTTCAAAGGAAATTAGCTTCCAAATATTGGTCAAATTTTTTAACAAATTATTTTGTACCAGAGGTATGGTCTTCCACCAAACCTAAAGCCAGTGCTTCTTATTTGGTGACTTTAGTAACTATTAAGTGGTCATTCCTTTGTTCTGTATTTGTTTTGTTTAGACAGGGTCTCACCATGTAACCCTGGCTGTATGGAACTCAATCTGTATTCCATGCTATCCTTGAATTCACAAAAATCCATCTGTCTTAGCCTCCTTGGGATTAAAGGGATGTGCCACCATACCTAGCTAAATGATGATTCTTACTTTATTATGGTTACATAGTATATTCATTAAAACACTGAAAAATGAATAGATATCTTTTAATGCTTTGATTATGCAAATTGTATCAATTCATTTTTTTACCTGAATTCTCTTACTTTCTTAAGTAAAAAAAAGATACTCAGAAGTGTGATAAAACTCAATAAATCTGTGTTTGGTATGAATTTACAAAACTAAGTTGTTCTTTTTTCTTTTTCCTTTACAGCAAAGAATCTTGTTCTTGCAGGGATTAAGGTGAGTGTATACCCTCAGTATGAAAAGTAGTTTATTGTGAACTGTTTAGTTTTTGTTTTGTTTTTTTTCTTCAGATTTGCAGTGATCATGTACTTTGTCTTATTTTTTATTTTATATAACTGAATCATTAATGCTGTTCTTTTTTTTTAATTTATTGAAAATTTAAACATAAAAAGGCTCACCTAACATATTCCTTATTACCTGTCATACAGCATAGGTTACCAACTCAGTGTACATGTATATTTTATATATTCGCTTCCCAGTCTCTACTGGCTGCAACTGCTAAATTCTTTTCATAAGAACTTTAGCTGTTTTCTCATTCATAAATATTTTTAGTACATATCTTTAACCACAATTTAGTACCATTTTGACACCTTAAAATGTGTTAATTTCTTAATATTGTTGTATTAGGTTATTACTATAAAATCATTTACTCCAAAATTTAACAGTATCAATTGTTATGTCTTGTTTACATGGGCAAAGATTTTAGCCTGTTCTTTTGTTACGATCTCTCAGAAGAGTACAAACAGCATTTATAGGAGCTATAGTCATTTTGAGTGTAGTTTATCAAATAATTTGTTTGCAAAGCTCACACTTGGTTGTAGCCAGCTTTGTTTCTCTATGGGACTGCAGACCTTAGTTCCTTGCTGGCCAGAGGTTACTCTCAGTTTCTAGCTGTATGCCTGTCTCCATAGAGCTGCTGACAGTGGGACAGCTAGCTTCGTCAAGCACTACACAAGAGAGAGATGACACTAGCCCGTAATCAAGAGGAGGGGCTTAGCCAAAGCCTAACCGTCAAGAATATGGGGTGTTAGTGCCACCCTGGACCCTTGCTAGCATAAACACAAATGCCAGATGAGAGTTCAACTTTGTTTTCTTGAGAAATCTTTTTTAAAAGTTTATTTTGTTCTAATCAGGAGTCTAGGAGAATCTGTATGCTGCATCTTTTTCTTTTAATCTGTAGATTTTCCTTCCCTGATATTTTTCACCCTAACAAAATTTATTTATAAAAATAGTAGTTATTTTGTGATATGTATAGTGGCACATGTCTGATTCCAGCTTTTTAAAGGCAAGAGGGAGAAAGACTGGTAGTCATATCCATGGGAAATTGAGATTTGATTCTTTAGCAAGACTGTTTCACAGGAAGTATACTATGTCCTACAGTAGATGATTATAACCTATTTTTCTCTTCTTCATTATTTAGCCATTAATCATCATTACCTTGATCCATCACTTCATTAATCGTACTTGTCATTTTCTCGTTCATTACTTGTAATAATATTTTAGAAAGAAAATTTTCTCTTCATTGATTACCTGATTTCACTCAAGTGCGTAGGCTACATGTACAAAAGGCAGGATAAATACTGAATTTTTACTACCCTCCAAAAGTCATCCTGACCATTCCTCGTCTGTCATTAATGAACTCTGATTATGTGTATACCATGATAAACTTGTGCATTTAAATATTCTGTGTTAGGTTTTTATCCATTGTATATATTTTTAATTTTATAACAATTGGTACATCTTTCCAGTGGAATCGTTAAGTTTCTGAGGTTTTTTTTTTGGCATAACACCTGTAGTCTTTGTCATTTTAAGTCTTGCTGAGGGATAAAGATAAAACATTAGTCATCAGGAACACTGAATTGTATTCAGGTTTAATAAGTTTCTAATTCTCTTGTAGGAATGGATTACTTCTTTTGCTTTCTGTTTTTGTATGTTCTTTTAGTGTAAGATTCATGTTTTTTAAATGACAGTCCATTTGTCTTCTATTATATTTAACTTATATGACGTGGTTTCAGAATACAATTTAAATATTACTAATGAATTATTGAAAGTTATATCTTTTATACTTTTCTAAAATCCCTTGCTTTTAACTGATAGCTTTAAAAAATTGTATTAATTAACTCCTCCAGTTAATCATGCAAACTACTCAAAAACAGTTTGGATTATTTCAGGTTGGATTCTAAGTATCATTTAGTGTCACTTTTTAAATTCAATATTAATACTTTTTTTTTACATTTCTTTCAAAATTAAGCAAAAAATAAAAAATATCTTCAGGTTAGTCTGGTTTCTGTACTCTTTTCCCCATTAGATCATCCACTTTTAAATTTTATTTACTCATTTGTATTTAAATATAAGTAAATATATGCATTCATAAATATTCTATTCAACTTATGTATCTGTCTCTTCCTGTATTCCTCAAAGTGCCTTGCTTTTTATTGCTTAATAGCCTGTCCCTAAGATTACTGCATAGTGATAAATATTTGTTTCATTTTTTTAATAGTTACTTGAAGATACAATCGTGTGGATGTATCACATATTAGACAAATTTTCCCATGATGATGCACATTTTGTTTCTAGTGTTTTTAATAGAATTATACTTAATAACCTTGTCTGTTAGTGCTTTTGAATCTTTCTAAGAATGTCTTTTGGACAGATTCCTAAAAATAGAATCATTCTGTTCAAGGAGAAATACATGTCTTATTGCCAGAGATTATACTAAATTTCTTTCCATGGAGGCTGAGCACCTCATAGTACCATCATAATGCAATATGTTGTCAAATCATTGGACTTTGCCAATCTAGTGGATGGGGAAGATGTTGCATATTCAGCATTTCATATTCAAGAACAATAAAATATATATTATTCCAGCATATTTCTTATAAATTAATCTTTTCCTAGATAGTATTTGATGTGATAAAAGTTACATTTTTTTCTAGTTTTTCCATTACCTTTATCATCTGGAGTGTGGAATTTTTAAATATTTCTATATAAGTTTTTCTCAATGCTTTCTTTATGCTGATTTTTATAACATGCTAATGTCATAACATTTAGAGCTTCTCACTGTGTAGTTTCTCCTCCAAGTTGTTGGAGTTCTTCAGGCATTTATTGTTGTGTCTTCTGAATAAAGATGTAATTATATATCCTTCTCAATTCTTACACCACTAAGTTCTCTTTGTTATTCATATATACATTGTATTTCCAGCACAGTACATAGCATTAGAGGTGGTCTGTACTCTGGTTCTATTCTGGACTTAAAAGGTATTTTTCTCATTTTTTAAAGGCACTGACAATTCATGATACAAAAAAATGCCAAGCATGGGATCTAGGGACCAATTTCTTCTTGTGTGAAGATGATGTTGTTAATGAGAGAAACAGGTAAAGATACTTTGATACATTGTCATTTTTTTAACTTACATTTAAACATCTTTTATGTATAGAGAATACAGTTTAGCCATAGCTGTTTACTTTGCCAAAGTAAATTCACACTGCCTTACATAAATAAGTAGTGGCATTTATTAATTTATTTATTTCCCTTGCCAAGTTTGTGATACATTTATCCTGTTAACCTAGAAATGAATTTTACATTATTAAAGGAACTTAAAACATTATTTAGCAAAGTAATGGACTTCATTGTGACATTTTGATACATGTCTTCCATTATAGTTTGCTTTCATCCCCTTGTCCCATACACTGACCTCCTTAGCCTCTTCTCTCTTCCTTCCTCCTGCCTTCATGACATACATATTCCGTTGCCTTTTTCTCTTGCCTTCCTTGTCCTTGCCTATACTCTTCGTCCTCCCTGGCAGTCCCTTTCTGGTCTCCTGGGTAAAGGGAGTCTGTAGTATTACTGTCATTAAGAGACGACGAAAGCTTGGAGATTAGAAGCAAGACATGAGAAGATTGTTAAGCTTGCTAAACAATGTGGTAGTGTGTCATAAAATTGTATTAATTTAGAAAACACAAAAAGTCTGTTTACCTACAGTTTATTTAGTTTTCATTAAAATTTCATATGTTGGGTCCTCCTCATGTTAAGTATCTAACATTGAGACCAAAAATAATAAATGAAAGATTATATTTTTCTAGGGCTGAAGCTGTACTTCATCGCATTGCGGAACTAAATCCATATGTTCAGGTTTCATCATCCTCTGACCCTTTTGATGAAACCACAGACCTCTCCTTCTTAGAAAAATACCAGGTTAGTATTTTGTACTAAATGTTATTGATACATTCCAAAGAAATTATATAACTAGTATAACCCAATACATTGAGGAGCAGAACAAAAAGAATCAGGTTAAAATAATACCTATCAAGTGCTCCATTTGAGGAAAATGTTCTAAGAACTCGTGTATGTAAGAAGGGTATTTAGCAATAATATGCTGTTGAAACACAATGGTTTTAAACAACATGCATTTATTTGTTCCTGTTGTATCTTTTAAAGGTTAATATTTAGTTGATAAACTGTGACTTAATAAGCATCTAGATGAGTAAGTTACAGTGTAGAACACAGAAATCAGGAAAAGTTTGAGTAAAATATTAAAAGAAAATTTAGCATATATGAAAAGGTTTATTTATGACATTAGACTTCTAGAAGTAGTAAAACTCAATGTCAAGCTGGAGAGATGGCTCTGTGGGTAAATTACTTGCTATATAAGCAAAAGAACTGAGGTCAGATCCCCAACACCCATGCTGATCCCCATTGCTTCCTAGACGCCCAACCCAGCTAGCTGATGAATCTGAGGCGCAGTGGGAGACTGTCTCAGAAAACTATAGTGGATGTTGTTGCCTCTGACTTTTTTTTTTTTTTAAAGATTTATTTATTTTATTTATGAGTACACTGTAGCTGTCTTCAGACACACCAGAAGAGGGCATCAAATCTCATTACAGATGGTTGTGAGCCACCATGTGGTTGCTGGGATTTGAACTCAGGACCTCTGGAAGAGCAGTCAGTGCTCTTAACCACTGAGCCATCTCTCCAGCCCCGTTGCCTCTGACTTACACAAGCACATTTAAGAAAGTTTACACATGCATACACGGCACATAAGAAAACGTTAATGTCAGAAAATTAGGCTGAAATAATTTCTAGCACTTGATAAACACAAGTCTTTAGATTAAAAAATTGCTGGAGCTATTACTAGACTTTATATAATTTATTCTCTTAATATATTACCTTGTTATGTTTCACAAATACTGACAGAAAACACCAAGGGATAACCCATAAAATTGATCTATCAGAAACACAAATTTTAACATACATAGGAACGGAAGAAAAACAATGTCAGTTCCAAAAGTAAAAAAAGTATTTTCTTGTGTCTGATGCCAAAGAAAACTTAGTGATGAAATTATCTGATAAAAGAAACCAGTGGTTCTAAAGAACATCTAGTAAAATTTGAAGAAATTAAAGACAATTAAAGAAAACAATACATGAGAAGTAAAAAAAAAAAAAAAAATTAAAAAAAAATCTTAGAAAAAAATAGTAGGAACAAAGAGTAAACAAATCCGACAAGTATAGTTGACAAATGTTCTAACGGTAGACTACGATCAAGTGAGAGACTAGCTAAGCTTAGAAGCAGGCCTTTAGAGTAAAAGAGGCAAGAATGAAAAGAGCTTTGGAGATCATTGGCACCCCAGTAAACAAACATTTCCATTTTGGGGTACCTAGGAAAAGAAAGGAAACTCTATTATTCAAAGAAGCTATACCTGCAAGCCTCTCTAATCTTGGGACCCATAGGTCTTCAAGTGTGCATGACCACACAAAATTCTGACCCTGACGTATTGTAGTTAGATTGCCAGAAACATAAGGCCCAGAGTTCAGTTCCTGAACTCTTGCCTCCCTCAAAAAAAAAAAGACAAAAATGATTAAGAACTGTAATGTAAAGCATCAAATCTCATTTACAAGTATATGTAGTCTCTCCATTAGACTTACAGTAGTTTGCTTAAAACAGACTTAAAAAGCAAGGCAAGAAGAAATGAAATATTGTTCCATTTCAGAAGATAGTAATTCAGCTAGCTTTATATATACCCAGATAAATATAGCCTATCCTTCCAAGATGAAAAACACATTTTCATGATAAGGTGGAAAAAAATAAAGGAATTGATTATGACCAGACCAGCCTGCCTAAAGATGCTCAAGGGAGTCCACAGCCAGAAGGAAAAGAATCATCTGTACCATTGTCAATACATGAAAGTATACCACATTTGTAAAGAAAACACAGAAAGGAAAAATGAAGAGCCAAGCCAAAGATGAACAAGTCATATTTTAAGATGCCCTCATTTAACATTCAGCAATCTGTTCAACAGACACTAACAAGAGGGAATGAAATGGCAATTTTTTTTCATTCCCATGAAGAAAGGCAAACTCAAACAAACGATATTCAAAACAAATAGGAATGGAAATTCTTACATTATCTTTATTAATTTTAAGTGCAAGTGAACTGTATTCCCCAGTTAGATGATGCAAATTGTCTGAATCTAAAACAAGTGTACCGTCTATCAGAAACTCGCATTAGTAGTGAGCACACAGCAACTGAAAGTGAAAAAAAATGGGAAAAAGGTGTTCCAGGCCTGGGAAGATAGTTTGCATAAGTTTGATTTCTCTGCAAGCATGAGGGCCTGAATTCAAATGCCTAGCACGCAGATAACAAGCAGGGCATGGGTTTGCCGTCACTGGGTTGGGGATACGACAGGTTTATTCTGAGAGCTACCCTAGCCATCCTGCCATCCTAGCAGAAATAGTGATTTTTCTTGCTCAGGAAGAGACCCATGATTCAGAGCAATATGGTAATCCTCTTAGAATAGGAAAGAAACTCCCAAAGTCCTTCTCTGGATGCCAAATGTGTGCGTGCACACAAAAAGAGATTTCTATGCAACTGTAAATCAAAAGTGACAGAAGTGGGTGTTTACACAGAGTAGATGTAAAAATGAAACTGTAAAACGCAGTAGTCATTTAATCAGGGATTAGTTCAATATCTGACAACAAGCATTAGATCTAAAGAGGAAGTAGGATCCAGGACAATGTTAGAACTTCCAATATTATCATTCTACAGATCTTCGGACACAACAAACAGCAAGCTGGTTGTGGTGACACATAGCCAAGTATTTGAGAGGCTAAGAAAGAAGGATTGCTGTAGTTTGAAAACATGCTGGGTTAATCCTGAGTACTAGACCAACCAGCTCTACACAGTCATGATACCCGTTCTCAATTCTCTCCCACACAAAATTGCAACATTGAAGCACTATAGCTAATATGCCAAGCAGCATGTCTAGAATATACATCCTCAGCACATGAAACAGTCCTTAATATATACCATGTATTAGGACATATAAATAAATCTTGAGACATTCACAAAAAATGCAGAAGTGGGGACTAGGAATGTAGCTTAGTCACTAGATTGCTTACGTAACATGTGCAAAACTTTTAAGTTTGATTGCCAGCATCAAATAAATGAGATATGCCTGTAGTCTTGTCACTCTAAACATGGAGACAGGAGGATCAGAAATTTAATGTCAAAAATAACTGTGTGTCTTCCCTGACCACTATGTAATAAAATGAAAAATGACAAAATAAACTTCAGAAATCTTACCCTTCCAAAATAGAAAGCTATTATTTAATAAATAAATGAATGAATAAATAAATAAATAAATAAATAAATAACTGGCAAGAATATCAAAAAAGGAAATTTTTTAAAAACAATAATAACGTATACAATGTAATTATCACACTTCCGGGTATATAGCAAACTTAAATGAAGTCAGCTTACCATAGAGTTGCATGCCCATGCTCACTGCAGCACTGTTTAGCTTGAACATATGTAACCAAACATTAATTCCCTTCCTTCAGTATGTACATAAAGAAAACTTGGTTTATGAGTATATATGTGTCTGTCTGTCTGTTTTTACACATAAAAGCATATGTAGGTGTGAAGAAAAGTGTAAAAGAAAGTCTGGACTTATCAGTACCTAGTAGTTGCATGTATTGATGTAAAACACAGCTTACTAATATATGCAATTTAGGTGATGATTTAAAATGTCCAAGTTTCAGGACATGGACATTAAATTACATTACTTTTTACTGCCATCAGTTCTGTAGATGCCTCCTTGGGTTTTGGGTAGTGGGTGGCTTTAAAGGGGACATTGAACTAGAGAGCCTGCTGCTTGGCAGTAAGTCGTTTGTCGTAAAGGAGTCTTACCTCTTGCCTCAAGTTTTTAAAATGGAAGAGTGGGCAGGGCATTCTTGGCATACCTAGTAAGAGTACAAAACCCACACCGTAAAATGTTCTGTTTTGTAAATTATTATTCAACTCCTGTATATAAGCACTGAGGAGAGCATAGAACTGAGAATTTATTGGTTTTGATGTTTGATAGGCAAATGGCTTTCAAAAAATTATTTGACCTCTGTCAGTATAAAGTAGTTATATCAAAATCTTGATTTCACACCTACTTGTATCAGTGTTAATAAAAAATTAAGGACTGAAAATTATTTGCTATCTTAAGTAACATTGTGGTTTTACTAATACTATTGTAAAGTTTTATTTTGTGAATCTATTGAATGCAGAAATTAAGAGTTATGACTAATGTCCTTGAAAATTGTAATTGTCATTCTTGAAGCTTGTCTGAAAGTAATGTTTTCTTAGCTAGATTAGTGACTGTAGGACAGTGGCAGATAGATCTCCAGCCTCTATTGGGAGACTACAGAGCAACATAGGGATGAAGGTTTGCTGCTGATCCTGAGTCCATTAGAGTAAAGGAGTGTATTTAATATGAGCATCTGCTCTCTATATTTTTATTTTAGTCTTACCATTTTGTACTTTATATATTTCATTCTAGACCAGAATTCAATATAGGATAGTAATTTTTGTGAGGATAACTATGATTCCTTGGTAGAATTCAAATTTATATGTTCCTTATTGAGAAGGTATATTTTATAAAAGTTATTGCGTACTTCCTGATCTTTATTTTATTCTCAACAGTGTGTAGTATTGACTGAAGTAAAACTGACATTACAAAAGAAGATCAACAACTTTTGCCATTCTCATTGCCCTCCAATTAAGGTAATAGTATAATTTAATAATTATAATATTAACATGCAGTTAACTGAAGGAAGAACACTTTCCATGTTTCTGTTTGTAGTTTTCACTAAGTTGCGTAAGGAGGTCTATGTGTATAGTCACACTAAGATGATTTTTTTAATAAACCTTTTATTTTTAAAGACTCGTAAATAGCCAGGCCTAGTGGCACACTAAGGAGGCACAAGCAAAGCAAGGAGACACCTGTGCACTTCAGGGCCAGCCTAGGCTACACATCAAGTTCCAAGCTAGATAGTGAGGCCCTTATCAAAAAAAATACAACAAAGAAAAAATTTACAAATGCACACACAAACACCAAAATTAAGACCCAGGTAAATAGTCTGCACAGAACAGTCATTTTAAAGCTGTAAAGCTCCGTGTTGGATTTTTAACTTTTGACAGTGTAATGTATTCTCCACCATCTAGAACACAATATCCAATACAGTTCAAACTGGAACAGTGAACTTTGTTTTGTCTTTCATAACTTTGTCCACTGCCTGCATTTAGTCCTTTCTCATGCTCTAATATTCATTCTTTCTTGTTCTCTTTGGCACTTTTATTTATATATAGTCATATATTGTTGATTAGATTCTTTATATCAGGAAGAATGTTTGAATTTTCCTTCTGACAATATACAACCTTTCTTAATGATACACACTTTAAGTTGATCCATTGTTATGCAAATTATATAACTGTTTTTCTTTAGAGCTGAATAGATTTGTGATGCCTATAGAAAGAGCTTTAAGCACAAAAACATTTCTTTACAGAATCTTGGGATGGAGATTGCCATTATTATAGAATTTATCTTTAACAAAGCATTTGTTATTGCGTTAGAGAACCTCATGTTTACCTTTCTTGGCTTGGTTTGCACTTTGACGTCTGTGGCCTTTTTTCTGTAGACTACTCCCAGCTTAACGTCTTCTTCTAATTTCCACTAACTAATGCTTTTGGTGAGTGTACACTCATTTCTGTTTCTGTAACATAATAACTATTCATTCCTAGGCAATTAAACTAGGATAACTGTTTCTTATGTGTTGAACTTAAAATCTATAACCAAGCCAGAATTTTTGTTATTGAAATAACAAGAGTATGTAATGTTGATACATTTAAGGTATTTTTAATTTGTGTCAGAAACCCACTCACCAAATACCACATTTCTTGATTCCTACACTGATTTATAAATGATGGATTCTGTACATGAATAAGGTTACATTTCAGGGAATATACTTAATTCTAAATCAAGTTGTCATGAACTGATATAAGATAACTGAGGTGTTTTTTATTCTTTGTTTTTTCTATTCACGTAAACAAATTTATTTTTGTCTTTTCAGTTTATTAGTACAGATGTATATGGAATTTGGTCCAGATTGTTTTGTGATTTTGGTGATGAATTTGAAGTTTCAGATACAACAGGAGAAGAACCAAAAGAAATTTTCATTTCAAACATAACGCAAGTATGATTATTTTAATACAATTTTAGAGTATAGGAATGCTAATTTTTAATATTTATGGATGATTATTTGTAAAAATAACAGAATATAAAAACTTGGTGTTCAATACTACTCTATAATTTTTAGGCTAATCCAGGTATTGTCACTTGCCTTGAAAATCATCCTCACAAGCTTGAGACAGGACAGTTCCTAACATTTCGAGAAATTAATGGAATGACAGGCTTAAATGGATCTGTACAACAGATAACTGGTAAGTTTACATGTTTTACTAATTTACTTTTAGTTATTCGACCTTAGATTGACGTGATTCACATCTCTGAGCTTCAAATCTGTATTCAAGGGAGAACATACTGAAGAGTGGGCTAATATTACAAGGAAGAAAGTAAAGTATAGAAATACACTATGAGAAAATATAAGTTGAAATTTCAAATCTTTACAAAAGTAAGAAGACAGTTATGAAAAATTGTAGGTGAACAAACATCCCTGCTTGAGCAACCTACTTTAGGAGTGTAAGAAGTTGTCTAGGTTTTGGAGAGTCTGTATGATGATAATTCGCGTGTGGACGAGCTGGCAGTGAAGTAGTAAATGGAGGTGACTGTCAGATCTGCGTTGTGTTCACGGAGTGGAGTATTTAAGCAGGCAAGTTTGGAGTCTTTTCCCCCTTTGCCTTGTTTTCAGAGGACTTACAGATGATTGCTCAAGGGGATAGAGGATGGTAAAGTCAGAGCTTTGAGAGAACATGCACTTGTAAAGTGGAAAGGTGATCGTGGATGGATATGTCTGGCCCATTGGAGATAATTAATTCATATCATTAATCTGCATAATTTGTATTTTACCTGTAGTTGTGTTTAAAACATAAAGACAGCGCTGCACGATTTGCAGCGTAACTTGGTGTCATGTTTACATAGTGGAAGGACAGTGATGACTCACTGGTGTCTTCTGGGCACTTGAAAAATACAGTCAGGTGTGCGTGCCCCGGTTAATATAGTGGCCCACAGTAAGGGTCCTTTTTCTCCTCGTCCTCACCAGCATTTGTCATTTTTGCTTGTTTTTTATACTTATGTTTTAATTTGCATTTTCTTGATGGCTAAAGATATTGAGCACTTTTAAAAATATGTATTGTGAGTTTTTTCTTTAGAACACTGTGAAGTTCAATGACCTATTTATTAATAGCAGCTTTATGTATTTGTTTTGTGTTGTTGAGATTATTTATTCCCAATATTAGCAGTTTTGAAATACAGCTGGCAGATTATTTTCTTCTGCTCTATGGGCTGATTACTCACACTGCTGATTGTGGCTTTTTGGTATGCAAAAGCTTTTTAATTTGATGTTTGAGTACATCTATCTTAAGTAGAGAGGTTCAGATCATAATGTTAAAGAATTTGTATTTGTTTGGGGAAAGTTGACTAACTTGATAATTTGGGATTTATTTATTTATGTTGGGAACCATTTGGTGTTAGAGTGTGGTGATAAGATCAGGTGCTTAGAGCTACCTATATAGTAAGAAGTGGCCTGACAGCAACAGACGAAGTCTTTTACTTTAAAACCCACAGTTTTTAGCAAAAAACATTACTTTTCGGCGAAAGTTGCTTAAACTGAACACTTAGTACTTGGTGCTTCCTGCCTTAAGATAGTTTTGTTCTATGAAAAAGTTATTAAATAACTAAAATAAAACATGTTAACTCTAAAACAGTTTATGTATATTTTTATATCTTATACAATTACTATAGACATGTCTACACATGCATTTAAATAGAGTTCTGATTGAGTTCCACTTTAGATTTCCTCCCCTTTCCAAATATCAAATTAGTTTGGTGTCTGCTTACTTTTTTCTATTTGTACTTTCCTATTTAATATATGACTATTAAGTATTTATGTATATAAGTATTATAATTTATTTGATTACTGGAACTTACTGTTTAATTAAGTTTTTAATTATTATACGGTTCAATAACAAACTAGATTGATAGTGAAAAGTTTTTTACATATCCTTGCTATTCCTCCTCAGTAGTAGGCCACCCATCACGGGTTTATTATGTACCAGTAGAGAGGTTCTTTATACTCTCTTACACAGGAAGTACCTATACATTGTAGGTACATTTGCCATTTCATCAAATAAAATGACTTGTCTTTGTGTACTTGAATTTATTTCTCAGGCATGTATTTTATTCCTTTTACCTACCCATGTACCAATAAAATTAATATTAACATGGTATAGAGGTTTTATAACATATTTTAATATAATACTGTTAGTACCCCCTCACTTCTTACTTTACTTTCTGATCTTCCTCAATTATTTGTAAGTCCCAAAGCTCACATTCAAAGAAATACTTGGTATAGTTACCAAAAGATTCCCAACCCCCTGCAAAGAAAAAAGATGTTTTAGAATCTTACTTTAATAAATGAAGAGTTAATATCTTTGTGATGGTACCTATGAGTAATGTTTATTTTTTTCTTGCAGTGATATCACCATTTTCCTTCAGCATTGGTGATACGACACAGCTGGACCCATATTTACATGGAGGCATAGCTGTGCAGGTTAAGACTCCTAAAACATTCTGCTTTGTAAGTATTTTCTGCTTAAAAGTTTTTTTTTTATTTTTTATTATCTATCTATCTATCTATCTATCTATCTATCTATCTATCTATCTATCTATCTATCTATCTGTTTTGTTTTTCGAGACAGGGTTTCTCTGTGTAGCCCTGGCTGTCCTGGAACTCACTCTGTAGACCAGGCTAGCCTCGAACTCAGAAATCCACCTACCTCTGCCTCCCAAGTGCTGGGATTAAAGGCGTGCGCCACCACTGCCCGGTTATTTTTTATTTTTAAAAAGAAAAAGAAAGAGAAATAGCCCAAAAGAATAAAATGCTCAAGTCAACTTACCATAAAGAATAAACTTTTTAAAAAATTTATAACCAATTTGAATCAAATTAAACCAATAAGGGCAAACTGATACTATAAAAATAACATACGGACATAGGGCTACAGCTTACACACATCACTAGTATGTGCAGTCTTCTGTACTGCAAAGGTTAGGCAAATATAAACTTACACAGTTTAATAACTAGAACACCTCTTGTGTATGATTGTGATTATACCTCAAAGGAGCTAAATAGTGAAAGAATTTATCATACTTTTTACTACCCAAGAAAAAGATAAATGTTTTCATTTTATGCAGCAAGAGCTGTTACACTTTATTACTCAATTATTTGTTAATTCTGCTTCTACTGTTTTAATCTGCATTATAACTACTATGTTTGAAGTGTAGCATAATTCACACTGACTATTGGCAGTGAAAGAACATGCTGACAGCTAGAGTGTAAAGATTGCTAATTTTTTTTTTTTTTAGAACTAATGAGTCTTATTTAAATTCATAGGCTGCTTCTCAATGTCATATGTATAACATATCTTTGGTGTTGGGCTTTTCATGATGTTGCCACAGGCTGTAGGGAGTTTTCAAGATCTCAAGGTTTTAACTTTGTTGTTTTTGTGTTTTTCATTAAGAAAAAAAACTAGTCTTCAAGACTTTGTTCAAATTAGTTAAGCCAATTAAAGTAGAACAGCTAATGAAATCTGCCTCTGTATGCTTTGTCTTGCCCTTGCCCTAAGTTTTAATAATTTTGTGTATCAAATAATTTCATATGTGGTGATGTTTGGAAAACTGTTACATTTCAAATTTTTCTTTTCTTTGCCTTTCTCTTCTTACCTTACACTCATACAGATTTTAACTTAGAATATCTACCTAAGACTTAGCAGGCATAACTAGTCTGATGTTATCAGAATACATGGTAGCTTTTATATAAGGACAAAGCTTGGGATTATAAAGATAGTTTTCATTAATTTTTTTTAAAGTAACCATGTAGTACAAGTGGTTTTTAGTATAGTAAAGAGATATTATATAGCATTTTAACTACAACATTACAAGATTAACTACAGCATTACAGCAATCCAACTTCACCCATTTCCAGGCTTAGAGAACGATCCTTGCTTCCAATGCTCTAAATATTTTGCAAAATAACCACTCAATGTGCTGTGAAATAATTTTCTCTCTCTCTCTCTCTCTCTCTTAGGAACCCCTGGAGAACCAGATAAAACATCCACGGTGCCTTATTGCAGATTTTAGCAAACCTGAGGTAAATATTTGCTTTGCAGGCTTGAAAGGGGCAATGGAGTGGTGGATAGGATTTGGTAAATGATTCAAAACTTAAAATGGGTTAATCATTGTTTCCGGAGGTTCTATTCTTATCTCAATATTTAAAGTTCAAATGGAAGAGGATTTAAAATGAGAATTCATGCCATAAAAATGTTAGAGTAAAATGAAATTGTGCTTTGGTGATTTGCTAGCTTTGATAATTAAGTAATTGTAGTAATACATAGATAGGGCATTACTATAAGATTTTCTTAACTATGCAGTTCTGTCAGACATTTGTTTTATGTGCAGAGGAGGTAGGAGGTAATCAGCAAGGAGATAATACAGCATCTGATTGGAGATCAAAGATGAAACTCAGGTCACCAGGCTTGGTGGTAGGCCATTTCACTGGCCACAGAGTTTTATATAGTACAGGAAGATACACCCTGAAGCTGTTATGTTCTATTTTCCATCACTAGATATGAAACAGTAAATATGTTATGATAAGAAATGAACAGTTTACAGATTTAGAAACACCAATAAAAAAAAAGGCAGCTGTATTTTTATAAATGTTTTTAGGAGTGATTCTGGTTTGGGATTTGGTTGAACTTGGAATCAGAGATCCAATCTGTTAATGATTGCCGCCTCCTGGGTGCTGCGGCTAAAAGTGTGTTACTGGACCCAGCTGTACAAACGTTTTGTTACTGGTATTCAACTGATATTTTATATGAATAACTTAGTAAACACTAGTTATTTGGAAAATGCTTCTTAAAATACCTTTATTGTCTTGAAGTCAAATTATTTAATTTTTCTAATGCTAATTGTCATGTTATACTCTATTGTAAGGGTGAAATTAAATAATAGTTGAAAAACATTTAGCCTAGTCATTGAACTTAACAAATGTTGGCCAATTTGTTTTGTTGTTTCGAATAGGCACCTTTACAGATTCATGTAGCTCTGCTTGCCTTGGACCAGTTTCAGGAAAACTACAATCGTAAGCCAAATATCAGGTAATGCTTTTGTTTTAAAAGGAATGCTTTTTGCTCTCTCTTTTATTAAATGAAAACCATGTCTCAAAAGTTATAGGTTAAAGAATACAACTAACCTTTAATTACTAACATAGCGAGTTATATTACTTTATTACATTACCTGTAAATATGCTTAACTGCATAAACATGGCATTTAGGGTGACTTAGTGGTGGAAGTAGAAAGATCCATTTGTAAGAATAGAATCATACCACACAGGAATTTTTCATATTTGAAGACTTTAAAATCTATAGCTTTTAAAATCAGAACGTCTTCTAATTGGCGAACTGGTAATCTATGATAATGTTTTCTAGCCTAAGTTAGAAACTACAAGTTTCCTGCCTTGTATGTTTAAATCTAAATCTCATATGCTGTCTTAGATGACCATAATTTTGAGGTAATGTAGTCATAAGACAGTTAAGACAGCATTGAATTTAAATGAAAACACATTGTACTGTACTTTGAATATAACCTTGGTGGCAATTAGAAAAATTGAAGTTGTATTCATTATTTCAAATTACAGGTGTCAGCAAGATTCAGATGAACTATTGAAGCTAACAGTGTCTATAAGTGAAACCTTGGAAGAGAAGGTAAATATTAATAAAATTATGGTTGGCCATATATTTATGACATAAATACATATTAATATTTTCCTACATTTAAATCTTCCTATGCTACCTATTGATTTCTGTAGCATTAATAAAGAAGCTCTTTTGTTTTGTTCTACTTTAGTTTGTGTATCTATAAAACATTCATAAGTTGTTGTGAACATTAAATAGTTTTATTTCATAAAGTACTGACAATACCATGTGTCATTTAACTATTATTTGCTACTTTTACTTTTATATTATTGTTAGCACTGTTTTATGGATAAAACTACAAATACATAGATTTTTTTATATTGATAAATATTTTCATTTTCATGGGAGAATGTCTAGAAATACATTGAAAATTCACATAATAGAAGTAAAATATGATATTGAATTTATAAAAAATTGGCACTTTTTTTTGAGACAGCTCTCACTAAGTAGCCTTCTCTGGTCTAAAACTCAACATATGAAGGCCAGCACCAAATTCAGAGAGATCCACCTGTCTCACACTCCTGGGTGCTGAGATTAAAGGTGTACACAACTGACCAACCTTATGTGTCTTTAAAGTAGCTGTACTATTTTGCGTTTTTACAAGATCTGTATCAGGTTCAGTTATAACAGCCTCTTCAAAACTCTGTATTTCCTTTCTGATTGCAACCCGTTATTATTTGTAATTGTATCACATAGATTTGAGCTGAATTTCACTAAAGTTACAATGAATCTGAGGCTATTTTTTTATGTGCCTATGTGACATTTGTACATTTCTTTGGGGTAAGGTGACTTTTCAAAATCTTTACTTATTTTTAATTAGTTATTTTTTGATTGTTGGGGGTTCTATAGTTTTATATATAGTTTTTATATAAGTCTTATTCAAATACACATTTTATAAATATCTCTTTATACTTAGTTTATTGGGGTTTTTTCTATGCTTTATTTTTTTTTAAAAAATTTTAGAATTTTGCTATGATTAGTTAGATCATGCCTAGGACTTATGCACACAAGGCAGGCACCTACCACTGAGATATATCCACAACCATAAACTTTTTTACTAACGTCTCAAGAGTTCCTCTGTGCTCTTCTAAATGGATTATAATTTGGCAGGGTGATGGTTTCTTTAAAAATCTAGTAGAACTCATCAATAAAACTCTGATCCGGACTTTGTTTGGTTGGGACACTTAACCCTTTTTCTTGAATCCGTTTGCTCATTGAATTTTCCATTTAGATGCTTTTTTTTTTATCCTTTTGGTTCAGTTTTGATAGGTCATAGATGTCTAGAAAGTTACTCTTTATTTTCCTAGATTTTCTTAGTTATTGGTTTATTTTTTTTTATAGTATTCCCTATGCTCCTGCGTTTCAGTGTTGTCTGTCGCACACCTTACTTTCATCTCTAGTGTTAGTTATTTGAATTTCCTCCTTCCTTCTTCCTTTTGGTTATTTTGACAGTATGTTCATCTTATATCCTTTCACAGAACCATAGTTTCATTATGTTGGTTTCTACGTCATTCATTTCTGATCTGCATTACTTCTAGCAGCACTTTGTGTTCTTTGAGTTCAGTTATTGGGTTGTCTTGCTGTTCCACATTTCTTATGTTTGTGCGTTATTATTTGTGCACCCGTTGGAACCTAGCATCTGTTCCTGGTTTTGTATGATGACCTTCGTGGAATCCTTCTGTTGAACTCTTCATCCTCACTGCTGCTCACAGAGAGGCCACCATAGGAGTGACAGTGACAATTTAAGAACAAACCAGATACAGAAAATTTTAAAAGTCAATTGTAGTAGTTGGAGAGATGGCTCAGAGGTTAAGAGCACTATCTATTCTTCCAAAGGTCCTGAGTTCAAGTCCCAGCAAGCAAATGGCGGCTGACCATCTGGGATCTGGTGCCCTCTTCTGGCTTGCAGGCATACATGCAAGCAGAACACTTTATACATACATACATACATACATACATACATACATATATACATACATACATACATACATACATAAAGTTTTTTAAAAAGTCAATTGTAAATAGGAATTACACCTTTAGTACTAGTAGACAAGAAATACTCTAGGAATTAGGGTAAATGAGTAAAGATGTGAAAGTATTGAAAATTAAAAAACAAGAGGTAGACAAAGGATAGAAAGAAAGCACGATATGACAAGAAAGTGGGAGATACTGTTACAGAAAATAACAATGAAGAAAATCACAGGACAGCAGAAAGGCTGGTTGGCATTTCTTCCCTGCTGAGCAGTTGCAGGTGGAATTGCTCTGTTTTCCTCCCTCAAGCTTGTCATATTGCAGTGTACTTGATGTTCGGATAAGAGGGAAGCTGGGCAGTGGTGGCACCCGCCTTTAGTCCTAGTACCAGGGAGACAGAAATCACTGTTCTTGAGGCTAGCCTGGTTTGCAGAGAGCATTCCAGGACAGCCAAGGCTGCCTCCACAAAAAGAAAAAAAAAAAAAAGAAGAACAAAACAAACAAACGGAAAAGAGAGTATTGAGTTGTTTTCTCAGTCTAGACTATAGTCAGAAAAGCAAAATTAAACAGAGACTAATAAATAAAAAAACTGCTTAAGTTAACATGAAAATTGGAATTTTTATTATGAGATTAAAACATTTCTATTTAGGAAGAAATTGAGTAGTTTGGGTTGGACTTGTTTGTTTTTTGGAAGTTAGGTTCTAATGATATTGGTAACTTAGTCCCTAAAGTCACAGGTACTGTGTGTGAATACTGTTGCATCACTGTTGTTCGTGGTTTGTGTTTTAGCCTGAAGTGAACGCTGACATTGTGCACTGGCTTTCATGGACCGCTCAGGGCTTTTTACCCCCTCTTGCTGCTGCAGTCGGAGGTGTTGCTAGCCAAGAAGTATTAAAAGCTGTGACTGGGAAGTTTTCTCCTTTATGTCAATGGGTTAGTTCAGTATTTTCCTATTTCTTTACATTTTAAGTTAAGTGCTCCATAAAATAAGTGTGTTGTTAATTATAGCGTGGTATAAGCATATCTTTATAATATGTTTAGTATTATATACAGTATTATGTATTCTATATAATTATGTATTAAATAGAAAAGAAAAGGCAAGTAACTTAATTCTGTAATTGAAAATTCAGAAACCTAATTCTTTAATTGAAACTAACAGGGCCATATGTTTTGTCTGTTGGGATATAACCCAGTTCCTTTCTCAGATGTATTTCCTACCATAAAATATAAAAATCACTAAATTTCTGTTCTGTAGTTTTTCTCTAGTATTTTGGCTTAGTTACCATTTTGGGGCTCTCTGGGCTCTTGAACTACTTCTGTAGAAATTTTGCCATCACCGATCTTCAGGTTTCATTCCTGATATTACCTGAAGATAGAAAATATAAGAGTGATCTGAATTTGAGAACTGTGTAAGATAAAAGCATCACAAGAATTAAAGACATGTGTTTATCTGTTACGAGAAGGAAATAAGTGGCAGGAAGTCTACACATACTCCTTAAGTCCTTTCTTTTGAGGTGATTTTGAATGTAAAATTGTACCCATACAATCCCATTTTTCTGCTGAGTTATTTAAAATAGATTACAAGTTGATTGGTGAAAGTTGGCTTAGTTATAACTATTAATATTATATGAAATACAAATTCTGTTATTAATGTAGTAATATTACAGTGATATTTTCATCTGATTTTGTTCAAATTTAAAACAAGTAACTTAAATGAGAATATGCATTAAGACTGAGTATTTTATTAATTATTACTGAATTTGGAACTAAAAGTGTTGAAACTGTCTTCCTGGATCTTTTCTTTTATAATTATATACGAGGTAAAATATGACATAAAATACTTCCAGTTGGAAGTATAGTCTACATACTTTCTTCTCAAGCTAATCATACTGTTAATTCAACTGTAACTAAAATCAAATGGGAATTTCAAAGTTTTTCTGTAGTTATGAAGAACAGATTTTTGAGGTAAAATTTCCTCTAAAAGTTAAAAAAAATAAAATTATCCTTAGGATGTATAAGTGATATGAATTGAATTACATACATATAGTCTTTTTAGGTTTTAGAGTTTTAAGAATATATATTATAACCACTATTTTTTAAATATTTTACATTGAGTTGTCATTTTTATTATCCCTTCCCAAGATTATTAAGTATAAGAGAAGAGCTGTAGGGTTTTTTTCTTTCATGACTTAAGTCTTAAATGTTATGTTTTTAATCTTCGCTTCAGTTGTATCTTGAAGCAGCAGATACTGTGGAATCCCTAGGCAATTCTCGGCGTGAAGAATTTCTCCCACGGTAAAGCTGAAATTTGGATTATTTTTTCTTAGTATTTCTTTACGAAACAGAGATTGAACAGTTTTTTTGTAAGCATGTCTGTCTTGTGTGTCTTTCTTCCTGACATTTCATTTCTTGGCTTGTTTCTTCTTTGCCTAGTGGTTAAGTAGTACAATAGTACCATGTCTCATTACCACTTTATATGTAGTGATACAGAATGTCAGATTATATGCATGAGAGTGATTAGCATTCAAATGCCATAATATTAATAAATAAAATTGTTGTATATGATTTTTTTTTAATAAATCACTTTCCATTTGAGGCCATAAATTTTTTCAAATCAGTTAAAACTTTGGAGCTTTCATTATCTCAGAAAACCACATAACCCAGAGTTCTGACTTCAGTTTAAATGAGTTAATAACTCAGAATCCCCTCCATAGATTCCTCTAAGAACTTTTTTTAAATACTATGATCTTTATAGAGTTTTTTTTCCCTTGATTAGAATAGTTTCTTTTTATCTGCAATTTAACTTTCTGAGATTTTAGTTACATCTAAACTATCAAAAAGTACAAATGGAATAGTACAGAAATAAGTTGTTGATAAATTTAAATTACATATAGTTAGGTATAGAATGATAACATCACATGTTGTCCTTTCTGGGATGGGAGTCATCCTTCTGTCTGTCCATTAATTCTTTAGCTCTCTCTGTATGTATCAAAGGAACATGTACAAAGAAAACTATGGTTGTTACTTACCCATGTTCTTCAAAGGCACTAGTAGTGATGCCAGAGGTAGTGGTGGACATGCAAATAGTGAAGCAGGAGGAGGGAAGGAGTTACAGACTAACCTGGGCAACGGAAGCCAGACTCTGGCTCAACACTATAAACTACAATTAAACCAAACTAAAGTAAGAAATAAGCTTTAGAAAGAAGATACGATCTGACCTTAAAATTGTAAAGAAGAAATAATTTGTTAACTTTCTTTTGGTAACTCAGCCTGCAAAACTTACTACCGCAGTGTCATAAGTTTATACACATAGGTGTTGTATAAAATGCAGTGTACTTAGAGGAGTCAGTTTCTCCCAAAGTTTCAGACATCACTGATGATCCTGGAATGGATGCCTGAACTATTATAACCTAAAGTCATCTTCATTTACGTCATTTGGATATTGGTAGGGTCTTTTCTTTTTCAAGGAAGGTAGTTCATCTCATAAATTGAGGAAAACTTCTTTTAAAAAATGTTTAATTAAAATATAATTAACAATTCCTTCTTCCTTCTAGCCCCCCCCAACCCTTCCCATGTTCCCCAGCTCTGTCTCAATTGATGGCCTCTCTTTTAGTATTTTGTTTCTGTATATACATAAATACAGTCTGTTGAGTTTAGTTAGTGTGGCATGTGTTTGTTTGACTCAAGGACTGTCTACGTTGTATTGGATAACCAATTCGAGGGCTCGTCTCTGGAAGCTAATTCTCCCTCCTTAGCAGTCATTAGTCATACTTCTTTGTTTAGGAGTAAGAAAGGCTGTAGGAAACTAAAGTATATTCTCTTTTAAGGTACAGTATTGTCACTAACAATAATCAAATGTATTTTTATATCGTTCTGTCTTCTTGGTAAATGTGTCTTCAGAGGTGATAGGTATGATGCCTTACGAACCTGCATTGGAGATACATTGTGTCAGAAGCTACAAAATTTGAACATCTTCTTAGTAAGTCTGAGTAAGGATGGGAATAAGTGATATGTTCAAAATGTGGTTGAATGTTAAGTTAATTTTTAAAGTCAACTTGCTCTAAATGAGTAACCGATAAATCATACAGTCTCCAGAGCTTAAAATATTTACTGCCTGGGCCTTTTACATAAAAGTTAGCCAATTCGGGATCTGAAGAATTTATTCATTTCAAAATAAAACATGAATGTAACAGCTTCAACATTAAATGATTGTCTAGAAGTACTTTACATTTTTTTAAAATCACTACATTAAGAAATGAATAAATGTATTCTCTTTTTTAAATAGTATATTTTGAGAGATTTTTCACAAGAGCATAAATGTTGGCTAGTCTTAAAAATACTACTTTAGTAATCATTTTTGTAAAGTGATAATTTAAAGATTAGCAATTACTGTTGAGTTTTTTTTCATATAGTTAGAACTTCTTATAATTAAGATTCAAATATCTGTTTTACTGAAAATTCTTAGTAGACTTGTCTTAAACATACTTCTGTCTTTCAGATATACTCACAAATATCTAAAAGTAAAGACCTTTTCATGTTACCTAGTTCTAGGCTTGGGTTATTCTTATGTTTTTGGTTTTTGGTTTTTCTTCTGTTACTGTTTTTTTTCCTCTATAAGAAATGAGTTCTGCATTTAGCGTTTGTTAGATATCTTTAAATGTTTTTTGTTTAAAGAAATTGTAAATACCATGGCTTCCTTATTTGTTTTATACTGGTTTTTTTCTTTAATTAAGACACTTAAAAGGCATTATGAAACTTGTAAAAAGTAAAATCTACCACAAGTAAATCACAAATCAGTTTTTAAAAATTGTAGTTAGTATTAATAGCATTTGAAGAACATTAGAATGAAATTCTTTATTTGTTAAAACTTACAGTCTTGTTGTCTGACATTTGTACTCTTTCTCCGATAGGTAGGATGTGGCGCCATAGGCTGTGAAATGTTAAAAAACTTTGCATTACTGGGTGTTGCTACAGGCAGAGAGAAAGGAATGGTAAGAAGCAAGTCATTTCAGACATGAATGTTTGTATTTCTCCTGTTGCCCTTTTTCAACTGTGTTTGACTCTACACCAGCCTGCCTTACTGGTAGACCATTAAACTGAGAATTAGAAGACTAATTGTCTCTGGTCAGTTTATAGTCACAGTTTCCCTGCTTCTCGGTTCTTAACTGTAATTTCCTGAAACTGAAGAACCATATTATTCTTTTGTTACACTATTCATTCTTAATTAAATATTAACATGAGAGATGGCACTAAAAAGCTGCAGAGTATTCAGATACTTTAAATGAGTTTCAAACAGTAAGAATAGCATATTTTGGTATGCAGTTAAAATTCTTCAGACTGAGTTATTGCAAAATCATGTCATTTAAAATAACTTTTATTTATGGCATTTTACCTATAAGATAAAAGCTTTCATAAGTGACTTCATATATTTATCTTGGTAACTAAGTAACTAGAAAGTATATGATATTCCACATAGTGGCTTACTGATACAGTTTTAAAGGGGATTCATCATTATAGCTATAGGTAGGCGCACATTTATATTATCCATGTTTGATATTTCTAAACTGTGCTCCACAAACTACGAGTCTATTAGCTTAAAAGTTACTTGGGTTTTTCTTGTTTTAAATCGCTTCTTTACTGTAAGCTTGGGGATTACCTGAATGCTTTAACTGTATAGAAAAATAGTGCTTTTAGTAGGTAAAGGTCAGGATGAGCTGAAGTGAAGAAACCTACTGACATCAGATAGCGAAATAAAGCCTGTAATGTGAGCAGGGCTCTGTCGTTCTGAACACAGAGATATGTTGTAACAAAACTGTAAGTGTTCATAGATACACCCAAGGTGTAAAGAGAAATCCCCAGGTACCTAGAATCAAGGGGAAAATGAAACCTTGAATTATTCACCAAATACATTTTTTCTCTATTTTTAATGTCTAAAACTTTAAGTAGAAAAGGAAGTCACTCACCAGAAAGTAAGACTCTTAACCAGCAGAGACAGAGAGAGAGAGAGAGAGAGAGAGAGAGAGAGAGAGAGAGAGATCTCTAACATAAAATTCCACAAAAATGTGACACATACTCAAGGAAAATTAATAAAAGAAAATGAATGTGAACACCAGTCAATACCTGAAACTTGAATTCACACCGAGAAATACAATGCCAAAGCCAATATTTTTAATTCTAGCTTAATAGCACATTCATTTTCAATTCTGCAGATTATTTTACATGTTTGTTTTCTTCTTTCACCTTCTAGAATTAGGATCTATACATTCTTGAAGGGCAAGTATTTTAAGCCTATAGATCAATTATCTATGACAGCTAGTTGGCTGTATGAAAATATTCAACTGCCTAGTAGTTTATAGATTCAGCCTTAGTTGGAGCTCCTGTCAAATTGAAACATGACAGCATTCCCAAATTACTTCAGGTGAAGAATAAATATTGGGCTAGCAAGATAGCTTATCAGGTAAAGACACTTGCCATTAAACCTGATTTAGTTTGATCCCCAGAACCCACCCATGGAAGGAGTTGAAGGACTTTTACAAAGTTGTTGTTTGAGTTCCACACTCATGCTATGGCCACACATTCTTCACACATGTACATAATAATTAGGAAATAATGAATAACTTTTAAAAGAAGAAATGTCATAAATTTAAAAGAGATAGCTCTTCTGTGAGTAATTAATTTTGTGGATCTAAAAGATGATAGAGATAGTTTTAGTCTTCAGATAAAGAATTTTTAAAGAAAGTTTCTAATGAGCTTAAATCATCTGTGTTGTTTGCTATGCTCATGTACTAAATATTAGTTGGGGTTAAGAAATTTAACAATAGCATATTACTGGTAACCATTTGAAATTTTTTTAAATGACTATTACTGGCAAAAATGATTTGAGAGTGCTGTTTCAGTCATAGTGAGAAATGCAAAACAGATTTATTTGTTTTGTTCTTCTCTGTTATAAGGTAACAGTTACAGATCCTGACTTGATAGAGAAATCCAACTTAAACAGACAGTTCCTGTTTCGTCCTCATCACATACAGGTTTGTCACCGTTTTCTTATCATAAACAGATAATGGTTGCTGAGGAATCCTGTTCTTTGTTAGATTCTTAAGAGAAAGAATAAAGTATTCTTTGGAAAAAACAAAATGAAGAAAATAATGATCTCTCGTACACACTAAAATTGTCTTTTGGATGTTATTATTTGAATCGTGAAAGATGAGTAGTACTTTTCATTTTGTAATCACAAAAATATGTTTCTATAAACAGGTTCTCTAATTTGAAGTTTTAACAAAGCACAATTTTTTTTTTTTGCTATAAAACAGGTAAGGTTTAATATTTAAAACTGCTATACCAATTTTAACATCCCCTTGTATTGTAAAAGACTATTTAGTTGTCTCAAACCAAAATATTTAAATCTGGAAAAGAAACAGGCAATACACTCAAAGTCAGAGGCAGGTGGATCTCTTCAGTTGCAGGCCAGCCTGGTCTATACAGTGAGTATTAGTCATAGTTAGTGACATGATAAAACCCTGTAGTGGGAAACAGAAAAGAAAGAATATGTTAATCAAAACTACATGCTTTTAGTTTAAATTTTTCCCTTGATTCTCAACTCATTGTTGATCTTAGGAGAAGAAATGTAAGCATGTTTTGAACGAGAAGAGACTACAATAGCGGGCGTAGTTAAACTGATATCCTCTGACGTAAAGACAAGGGACGCAGTAGCAGTCTCTGTGAATTCAAATGTTTTACTAAATGATCCACTGTGTATTATTTGTAGATGAACACCAAAGACCTATTTGTTAATTTCCTGACTTCTAACAGTTTCTGACTTTATTCTTATAGTAAAAAGTAAGACATGTTAGCCAAATAGTGAGAAGAGACAGAAAGAGAAACTCAAAGGCTGCTGTAAAGACCTTCATAACACCTGAAATGATACAAGATTCAGTGACAGGAATGAAATGACAAATGGTGGATAAACCTTTAATTAAAAAATGAGATAAATATATATTTTTTTGTAAAAATACTTTCAAATTTCTGAAGCACTTTGTTAAACAATGAAGGATGACTAGATTGTGTTAATATGTGAATTATTTGAGCTAACTTCATTACTTTGCTGTCACCTCATATATTCCAAATGATTAGACTATGTAAATTCAGTCATAGTTCATCTTTTCTGTTTAACATTTATTCCTTCTGGTTTTATTTGTTACTTGTTTAGAAACCCAAAAGCTATACTGCTGCTGAAGCAACTCTGAAAATAAATCCTCAATTAAAAATAGATGCACACCTCAACAAAGTTTGTCCAGCCACTGAGAGCATATACAGTGATGAATTTTACTCTAAGCAAGATATCATTATTACAGCACTAGATAATGTGGAAGCCAGGAGATATGTAGACAGGTATGTTCTTGAAATTCAAGTGCATAAAGAACTACTTTTATTTCTGTTTTTCACTCTCACTTTTTGAAAAATTACCTAATTATTTTTATGTCGTTCTACTAAAACTACTCAAATTTAAGCATATTGATGACTTCCCACTATACTTAGAAAATTTTAATATTGATAAAACAGACTAAATGGATTTTTTAATGAAATACCTACCACCCTCCCGTGTTCCTACTTTCAATGTGGCGGTGTTCCCTGTTCCTCCTTATTGTAGCTGTATACACCTCCTTTAGGATCTTCAAAGGCCTCTTTACCTTAGGAACTAAATCGGTTTTGTGCTTCTGCAAGTTGTATTTCTCTTCCCTCAAAATTCTTGTCCCCAGCTGTGCATACTGCCAATTCTTTCCTTTAAAGTGTTCCCTCATCTTTGAGTTTCAGCCTAAATATTTTTCTTAAAACAGACATTAACTCCTAAATCTGCTTTTCTTAATACTTTTTCATTGTGGCACTTATTTTTATTGACATACATATTTACTTAATGTTTGGTTCTTCGCTAAATTTTTCATCCAAAGATCATTTATTTTCAATGTCAATCACCTGATTTCATTCAGTGTGGTTTATGAAATGGGTCATTGAATGAATCATTGTATGACTGTAATATTAGGATGACAGAGCATATGTCAGAGGTTAACCAGTTGAGAAATGAGAGAGAAACAAATCTGGAGCAGCAAGGGGGAAAAAAAAAACAAGAAAAAGGTTACTGCATTTCTCTGTGTGTGTGTGTGTGTGTGTGTGTGTGTGTGTGTGTGTGTGTGTGTGTGTGTGTGT